GGAGCGCCTCGTGGTCGCGTATGCAAACGTCCTGGACGCCCGTGGGGCTGTCTGGAGGCAATCTCAGGCGGTTTGGACCGAATCGTCCTCCGCGTGGGCCGTCCGGACAGCCTTTGGGAGCCCTCTTGGCTCGTTTCGGAGCCCTCTTGGGACCGTCCTGCGGCTTTCCTGGGCCGTTGCTATCGCCTGGAAGCCGTCTTGGAGCCTTCTTGGGAGCCTCTTCGGGTGACAGGGGTCGATCTTGAAGGTTTATTGGGCCGTTGTGGGCCTCGTGAAAGCCCAAGAAGCGAATGTGCTGAAAACGTATGTTTTACGTGAGGATTGGGACGGTTTTTGCTTCTGGAGGCCTTCTTGGAGCGCCTCGTGGTCGCGTTTTCAAACGTCTTGGACACCCATGGGGCCGTCTGGCGACGATCTTGGGCGGTTTGGACCGAATCGTCCCCCGCGCGGGCCGTCCGGACAGCTTTTGGGGGCCCTCTTGCCCCGTTTTGGAGTCCTCTTGGGACCGTCCTGCGGCTTTCCTAAACCGTTGCTATGGTTTCTGGGGCCTTCGTGGATCGCCTGGGCGCCGTCTTGGAGCGTTTTTGGAAGCCTCTTGGGCTGGCGAGGGTCGTTCTTGGAGGCTCTTGGGCCGTTTTGCGCCGCGTGGAAGCCAAATGGGCGAATGTGGTGAACATGTACGTTTTCTCTGGGGAATGGGACGATTCTTGCTTCTAGAGGGCCTCTTTGGGGCGCCTCGTAATATTGTTTCAAACGTCTTGAGAACTTATGGAGCCGTGTGGAGGCAATCTTCGGCGTTTTGGCGCGATCTCTCGTCGATTCGTAGCTCTCTTGGACCGTCCAGGGAACCTTTGGAACCTTTTCGGCCCGTTTTGGGGCCTCCTGAGGCTCCAAGTGTGCGGATGATGGATTTGCCCCCCCCCCCCCCCTCCAAACCCGCCAGACCAGGCCCCTGGGGGAGGGGTTTGGGGAGGGGGAAGCATCTCACACGCCGTGACCCCAAGGGGTCGGCGGATAATGGTGATGATGGTGATGGTGATGATGCTGATGATGGTGGTTGTTGTGATGGGAAGAGGGAAAGGCATGCTGAAGAGGAAGTGGAGGTATGAGTGAGGAGGAAAAGTATTGGAGGAGGGGGAGGAGGTGAGGAGGTGGAGCGCGGCGCTGCGAGTTCAAAACGAGGACCCAAAACATAGGAGAGTAGGGAAGAACCTATGATAAACAATGCGAGTTGCCTGTTCGGGCCCTTCGGAACCTCCTCTTGGAGCCCTCTTGGGCTGACGTTGGGTTTTTTTTGAGCGAACATGAGTCCATTTTGGCCCGTCATGAGGCTATATTGGGCCCTCTTGGAGCCATCTTCGACCATCGTGGAGGCTTCTTCGTCCATCTTGGCTGCCCGTGTGGCTGTCCTGGGCCTACGTGGAAGCTTTGGGAAGCTTCAGGATAGCACCATGGTCGCCCAGGGACCCCCAGGAGTAGGGATGGTGCAGGCAGGTGGGTGCGAGGTGACGGGCCATCTTGCGGCGATCCTGAGCGAGCGAGAGCCCAGAAACGTGAGAATGCACATATCAATTAACATTCTAAAGAAGACCATTGGTGTTTGCTTCCTCGGGCCCTGCAGATGCGCTTCGAACGTTTTGTCTCAATGTGTAATGCATCTAAGAAGTATTGACATACCGCTCGCGGTCGCACGGAGATGAGTCAGATAAGATTACTATGTTGTAGCATGTCGCTTGAGTCATCTTCACACACATGCGTTGTTCGCAACATCGCCGTGTGCAAGAACAAGTGCTCCGCTTGAGACATCCTCCAAACATAGAAGTCGCGAAATTTGAATATCTGCCAGCATTGGGCGTCTCGAGCCAATCAGATGTCGACGGAGCTGCTTTATTGTCTCAGGGGCTTTCGGTGGAACTCCCCATGGGGCCACGAATGTTGGTGCGCCGACATGGGGCTGGTAACCATGCAGACCCTGCCACTGGGGCCCTCGGTGGAGCTCCTTACGGGCCACGAAGCGAGTGAGGTGTGCGCCGAGAGGGCGCGGGTAACCAAGCGGACCCTGCCACCGGGGCCTTCGGTGGTGCTCCCTGTTGAGCAAAGAAGCGTGTGAGCGGTGTGCAGAAGTTGGCCTTCGGTGGAGCCCACTATAAGGGGCACGAAGCGTGTGAGGGGTGTGCCGAAACAGGCATCCGAAAGGCAGAGCAAGGGGGAGGGGGAGGGAGGGGGAGGGGGAGGTGGAGTTAGAGGGAAGAGAAAGGAAGGAAGGAAGGAAGGAGACGCGCGGCGCTGCTGATTCAAAACGAGTGCCCAATTCAGAGGAGCGTTGGGGAAAACAGTATGCAGGAGAAAAGCTGCCCCGCTCGGACAGGATCTGAATAGAGGGAAGTAGCATTCTGAATGGGAAACTGTGGCTGAGGAGGAGGAGGAGGAGGAAAGGGGATAAGGCGGGAGGAGTGAGGAGTAGGGAAGAGGGGGGAGATCAGTGGGACGGTCCTCCCCCGAGCCCGAAAACCGGTAGGCATTGGCAGAAACCAGCAAGATCGCCAGAAGCCCAGCAGAATCTTAGGGGCAAGCCCAACAGAGCCTGGCAGAATAATTGGCAGCAATTTGGCCCCAGTCGGAAGGCTCGAAGAAGTGACAGCCTTGATCCCGCAAGGCAGTCGACCCCCTCTACACACCTCGTCGGCCCGCGATGACTGCGGCAGAGCTGCCGAAGGACAAACACGTCCCCCGCACGAAGACGATCGCGAGGATTCCCTTGCTGAAAACATTGACTGGCGTTAAGCCTGCCCACCACGTCTTCTTGGAGAATTGGCAGGCGGCGCTCACCGTGGCGATGGTCAGCGTGCCACTCTCGATCTCTCTTGGCATCGCGTCGGTAGCTGGCGCAGACCCTGCCGCGCCGACAATGGGTGTTGCCACCGCCTTCTGGGGAGGCATATGTGCAGGACTATTCGGCTCCAGCGACCACAACATCGTGGGGCCCGCTGGAGCCCTGAGCGGCATGCTTACCACTTACACGATCAAGTACAACGGCATCGGGGTCCTTCCGTACCTCTCCCTCCTCTCGGCCTGCATGATCTTCGTCATCTACATGCTGAACCTGCAGCGTTACTCGCTGCTGATGCCCACGGCCGTCTTCGAGGGCTTCACCCTGGCCGTCGCTCTCATTATCGGCCTGAACCAATTGAACATGGCATTCGACTTGCAGCCGGCAGGACCGAAGCATGAGCACTTCTACGAGAACGTGATTGAGTCCCTTAAGGTCTTGGATGAGCTGAGCTGGGCACCAGCTATAACCTTCGTGTTCCTCACGGTGCTGCTCCTATCCCTCGTGAAGTGGGTCCCAAAGGTCAAGGGCCAGCCGATCCCGTGGACGGTGATCATCCCGCTCCTGACGATCATCCTCGGCTTCCTCTCCGACTCGGACAACCTCGGCGGCATCCGCATCCCGACGCTCAAGGACAAGTACGGAGAGCTCAAGGCGAGGGTCGTTGAGCCCCCGGTGCAGTCCCTGGAGCACTACGCGCAGGGCAACTACTTCGGCATTTTCACCGCGGCCTTCGGCATCGCCTTCGTGGCCGTGCTCGAGACACTGATCTCGGCCAAGATCGCCGAGCAGAAGACGGGCTGGGGCTTCGACGACAGCCGCGAGACGTTTGCTCTCATGATCTGTCACGCGGTCTGCGGCGCGGTGGGCGCCATGCCTCCCACGGGTGTCTTTGTGAGGACGGCCCTCAACTTCTCGTTGGGTGCCACCCACAAGATGTCGCAGGTCATCAACGCTCTCGGAGTGCTCGTCATCTCCGTGGCTGTCATGCCTGTCTTCTCATACCTGCCGCAGTGCTCGGTGGCCGCGCTTCTCATCTTCGCCTCCGTTCGCATGGCCCCAGTCCGCTACATGGTCAATCTTTGGAAGACAGACCAGGGCGGGCTCGGCCTCCTGGTGTTCACCTGCCTGATCTGCGTCTTCACGGACCCTGTCTACGGCCTGATTCTGTGCATGGTGTTCGCCTTGCTTCGCGACGCCTCCCAGACGGCGCTGGCCGAGTCCCGTTTGTCGCTCTACTCGGGGGCGGGCGACGAGGAGAACCAGGCGAAGCAGGTCGTCTTAAGCGAGGGTGCTGATGAGCATCCGAGCATGGCCCCGAGCGGGGTGGGTGAGAAGCACGTCGTTTGCAGCAAGCTGAGCGATCAGCATCCGAGCATGACCCCGGGCAGGGCGTGCGAGACGGCAACCTGCACTGCCGAGGTGGACCACCACGACTCTCGGCTGTCGGTGAGACCGTCGCCCGTGGCGGCGATCTTGGGGTCGATGGCGGGGCGTGCGAGGAGAAGCCAGCAAGTGCACCATTCTGATGGGAACGTCCTTGATAGGGCCAGCGAGTGCGTCGTGGTGTACGAGCCAGTTGGCCCCCTCGCCTACCTGACCCAGGAGAAGCACCAGGCGCGGCTGAGGGTGCTGCTCGAGCGTCGGCCCAAAGCCATCGTGGTCTCCTTGGATCTGACGTCCCGCGTCGACAAGGACGGCTCGGACGCCCTGGGCAAGGCCGTGAAGCAGATCGCTGTGAAGGGCCTGCATGTGGAGCTGTGTCTGCCTGCGGCCCTCGAGAATACCGTTGTGGGCAAGGCCGCCTGGGTCGAAGAGCTCGCGGCCGCCGGTCATGTACACCGTCGTCGCCTTGACGCGCTGCGCGTAGCCCAGGTCGCCACGGTCTCGTAGGAGGCGCCAACACTGCCAGCCTCAAGCGTCGACCACCGCTAGTCGTCTGATCCCGCCGTGCCAACAGCGTGGAGGGTTGCATAGGCGCGGTCTCTAGGCCTCCCAGATGGGGTCCGAGTAGATCTCGCCTCAACGCCGATGCCTCGGCGATGCGGCTCGATGTGGAGACCGATTTGTTCTACGCCGTCGGCGATGCATCGCCAATGCATCGCGCGATTATCCGACCCCCTCTACTCGGATCCCATTTGGGAGGGCTCTAGTGGAGGGTTGTGTAGGCAGTGTCTCGAAGCTAAGTGGACGTCAAAGCGAAGCGGGCGGCATGAGGGCCGAGCGTGAAATGTGGCAACAGCTTCGCGTAATTGCGACGCACTGCTGCGCGCTGGTTCACGTTTCGGGGCTGTTGGCGCTGTCCTGTGTCGCCAGAAAGCGAGACTGATCCGCAGAACATGCCGGACGCTCGCCTGGCGTTTAGCCCTGTCTGGCCGCACAGGGCGTGCCCGCCCCGCCTTTATCCGATCAGCCACTTGCCAAGGGATGCCAAGGCAGTGCAGGCACGAGTCGTTAAATTTGGTGCCAGCATTGCGCGCTGGCGCGAGACGTTCTCAAATCACCCCATGCGGTCGTTCGCCCTTGCGTTGTGCTGCTGCTGGGTAGCACCGCCAGGGATATCTTCCTCGTCGGCAGGATTTCTCTGCCGTCGTTGGCTGTGCTAGTTGTCTTCCTGCGCATCAGTTCTCTTAGGAGCCGCTTCCTGGTCCTGCTCGCCTGGCGCACGAGCGCCGTTGGGCGATTGGCCGGATGTGCGGGGGGCTGGACACTCGCACACCTGCTGTGCCCTGCGTCAATAATCTTTCACAATTCGTTCGAAACCTCAGGAGCCGAGCCGAGCACTCTTCGAGAAGCAGGGTGGGCTTGCAGAAGCGCTCGCCCGCCCGGTCTCGAGGAGGCTCGTGCCCGTGCGCTGCAAGCGGGTGCTTCCCCCTGTCTCTCCGCCAGGCTCCTCCTCGTTTGCCTTCTCCACCATCGGGCTCCTCTTTCTTGGCTGCACGTTTCAAGAGGTGTGCAGAACTCGGGCCGGACGAAAGGGGGGGATTGGGAAAGGGGGGGTTACGAAATCTGCTGCATGCAGCTGGTTTCGGCCTCACCGAGGGGCCCAGTCCTCGATACATAGCCGCCTCCGGCGCCGGGAGGCGCTGGGAAATTCAGCAACGTGAGCTGATTCTCAAACCCCCCCTTTGATATCCCCCCCTTTCGCCCGACCCGAACAACGGTTTCACGCTCGCCTCACTAAGTTGCACTGCCGTGTTGGTGTCCGATCTTGCTGCCTTGCTGGGGAACACCCTAAAGTGTTCCAGGCGGGCATCCCCCTTTCTCTTCTCCAGGCTTCTCTTGTGTTCCTTCTCCATCATCGGGTTCAGCATTGCCGTTTTGGTCTCCGATCTTACTGCCGTATTGGGGAACGCCCTGAACAGCTATAGGGGTGTCATCAAAATAATGTCATCTTGTCTGCCCGCGCACAGCGTTCTTACTGAAACCATTGGGCATCCATTTGATTGCAGCAATCTCGCTGGGACCCCGCATGCTCATCCTACCACGCGGTGCAACCGCGTTGATCTAGCATGCGCCCAGCGCACGAACCCGTATCATGTCATGCGGGCCGCATGCGCGCGTTGCAACGCGCGCGTGTCGAAGTGCGTACAGCACCGTTCCTTCTCGAAGCAGTTCAAAATAGAGCGCGTCAAAAACATATCGAAACAAACAACCATGCGATGTCCAACAACAAGTCTACCATATTGTTCGATTACATCGCCCTCCTCAGCGCCGTCGCATCACTGTCTTGATCGTCATCGACACTCGCCGCCATTGCCGCCAAGATCAGCACAATCACCTTCATCACCGACACATGGAAATCATCATCGCCATCGTCGTCCCAGCATCGAGGTCTTCAGTGGCCTGGCCGTCGTCAACGTCATCGTTGCCACCACCATGGTTACCAGCATCATCATAATCATCCTTCTGCCACTGGCCCGCACTGAAGCGCCAGCGCGGCCGTTGAGACGCTCTGGGAAACCTCCGTGGGTTTGCCAAGCCAGTTGCGGGTGGCAGGGTGGGATGTTCGCGCGAGCATTGGAGTTGACACCCCATTAGTAGCAACCCTCATCGCTCCACATAGCTTGCGCCACGTAGTTTGCACCACACAGCTGGCGCAGCATAGCTTAGACCACATCGCATGCGACACGTATACTGCACAACATAGCTTGCACCCTATAGCTTGCACCTCCGATATTGCACCACGTATATCCCCCGTTCGAAAGAACTGGACATGAAATTCCACCACCCCTTCCCCCCGCCCCATGGTTATCGGTCCCCCTCTGTGACCTTTCAATTTTCATATGACCGTGCCGCCTGGTTCATATGAGCATGCCTTTCCTACATCCAAAGTGGGCTTGTTGTTTTCGCTGCACGCCCCCCGCGCTGGGTCTCCTCTAATCCCCCTCTTCCTCTTCGTCACCATCGTCACTACAGTCATCGCCACCGTGGTAGTCATCATCGGTTTGAAGCCATCATGGGGCGTCATGGGGTTATGTTGCGCCCTCTGGGAGCTAGCTTCGGCAGTCTTGCAGCCATCTTGGGCCATGTTGGCGGCGTGGGTTTCTTTCCTGGGCCGTCTTGGGCGACTTCGGGGGGGGGCCAGGGAAGCGCCATGGCCGCCCAGGACCCCTCGGGAAGAAGGGCGGCGCGCGCGCGCCACTCTGGGCCGAGAGGGGGGGGGGGTCCTTCAGACGACCGCGGAAACCATGTCAGGCAGGCTGTGGCGTTCTTCAGGGCCTCAGCGTGCCAGGAGGCACAGCAGTAGGATGATGGGCAGCGTGTCTGGCGTGGACCGTTCGTGTTTGGTCAAGCTTTCTGTAACTCCAGGGTCCGTGTTGCACCCTGGACGTTTCGTTGGCGAATGGCGGGGACCTAGTTCGAGGAGCGGGAAGCGAGCTGGACGTTCTGGCTGACGATGTACCGCATCTAAGAAGTATTACTATGCAGATCGTTCGGGGTCGCACGGGCATGAGTCACAACGGAGGTCTCTAGTGAAGCAGTTCGTTTGGGGCCTCCTCACACACTTATTAGTTCGCAACACCGCCGTATACAAAAGCAAGCGTTCCGCTCGAGGCATCCCCCAGACACTGGAAGTCGCGAAACTTGAATGTCTGCGAGCATTGGGCGTTTTGCCTTAGACATCCTCGAACACATCGGATGCCGACACAGCTGCTGTTATTGCGTATGGGGCGTTCGGTGGAAGTCCCCATGAGCCCACGAAACGTATGATGGGCGCGCCGAAATGGGCCTGGTCATCATGCGGACCCTGCCACTGGGGCCTTCGCTAGAGCTCCTTATGGGGCCGCGGAGCGAGTGACGTGTGCGCCGAAACGGGGCGGGTAAACATGTGGGCCCTGCCACCGTTGCCTTCGGTTGTGCTCTCTGTCGGGCCAAGAAGGGTGTGAGAGGTGTGACGACACCAGCCTTCGGTGGAGCCTGCCGTGGGGGCATGGAGCGTGTGAGGGGTGTGCCGGAGCGGACGGGCGGAAGGCAGGGCACGGGGGGAGGGGGAGGGATGGGGGAGGGGGAGGAGAAAGGAAGGAAGGAAGGAGAGAGAAAGGAAGGAAGGAGAAGGAAGGAAGGAAGGAAGGAAGAGAAAGGAAGGAAGGAAGGAGGAGAAAGGAAGGAGAGGAGATGGGGGAGTTCGAGGGAGGAGGAAGGAAGGAAGGAAGCAAGGGGGCTGCGGATTCAAGGCGAGGCCGCAGCCGTGGTGGCGCACGTGCGACGCCCGTGCCGCGAGGTTTGCGTCGAGCCGGCACGCCGCCGTGCCGCAGGCCCGAAATGGTCTCGGGCGCAGGCCGTCGTGAGGGCTTCGGCACAGGGAAGGCCCTCCTCCTCCTCCTCCTCCTCCTCCTCCTCCTCCTTCTTCTCCTCCTCCTCCTCCTCCTCCTCCTCCTCCTCCTCCCTCCCCCTCCCCCTCCTCCTCCTCCTCCTCCTCCTCCTCCTCCTCCTCCTCCTCCTCTATTCCTTTTCCTTTACATAATTATGGGGACAGCCGAGTCATTCGTAACGCGGCCCCCCCCCCCTTCTCGGGGGCGGAAAAGAGGGGGGTGATGACTAGGGGGGGGGGATATCATGGCGGGGGGCATGATACTTCCCCAGATCTCATGGCGCCTCTTCTTATTGCATTACGTCCCTGGCCCCCCCGCTGGGCCGCGCACATGCCGCCGGCCATGATTTGCACCCCCCCCTCTTGGACACCCCCCTCTTGGCCGCTCCCGATGGTTGCGCAGGTCTCCTGTGGGCCCCCCTCAGCCTCCCCGGCCGGCTGGGGCCTCCCCCTCTGGGGGTCGTTTCCGGGGAGGGTTTCCCACCCACCTCCAAGGTGTGAGCGGGCCCGCGCGGTGGCGGCCCGCGGTGTTGTTTGGGGCGTTTCAGGTACTGACTGGCGTTCCCACAGAGCGAAGCGAAGCGTCCGCTACCATTTACGTGCACAGCGGTTTTTCACTCGCGCGTCTACGGCTGCGCCCTGGGTCCAGCTTCTCAGCCGCCGGTGCTTGAAGATGTCCGTAATGTGGACGTGCCCGAAACAAGAAGCATTGGGCATGGTGCGAACACGGTCGTGCCCCATGGAGTGATGTACCACTATTCAATGTCAAGCCCCTACCTGGCAGCGTCTGGGGCGGCAAAGGGAAGGCAAGACACTATTTTGGCGAATCTCAGATGACCCGTCTCTTTCATCACAGACAGTGGTGGCGGATGTGACCCGTGCGAAGCTTTAAGCGGTGCAGCCCGCGGCTATCCACCAGAAGGCAGAACACATTACGGACGTGGAGAAGTACGATGCCCAGGTCGAGATCATGCGCGGCAAGGGCCGCCGGCTTACTCTTTCACCGAAGGGCCGAACGGATAAAACCCACAAGCTGATCCAGCACCTTGAACGACAGGTCAACCACCAGATCGAGGCTAACACGCGCGCGGCGTCACAGCTGGAGTACCACGTGGGCCCGATCAGGCAGCCCACGGACCAGCTGGACGAGCAAGAGGCACAAAGAGGCCATCCATGATCTCCACTCAGGTGTCCAAGGGCCAAAGCCGCCTTCGCAAGTTGCTGGTCCAGTCAGGTGGAATCCCTGGATGTTCATCCAGGGGGTCTCTTCGGTTTCCATGAGTACGTGGATTTGCTGGCAAGCGAGAAGGAAGAGGCTGAGAAAAATAATCTCTGACGTCAAGGCCGCTTTCACGGAGCAGTCGAATAATGTGTTCGGTGTGGTCTAAGAAAGAGCTGAAACAAAAACTCGAGAAAGATCACGATGATCAGAAGGTAATCTTGGAAGGAAATAAGCACGACAGCAACGGTAGACAGGTTACTGGTGGTGGTAAACCAGGGAAGCCCCAGTAAGCTGGTGGAGCACCAGCGCCAGAAGCATCTACGGCGGCGTCCTCATCAGTGCGGACGGCAGCCACTTCTACGTCATCTGCCCGAGCCAAGGCCCAGTCTAGTTTCACTGCGCCTGGTGCACAGTTCCCGAAGCACCCGTTCCACAAAGGTGTCGGCAAACATGCGGAGGGGAGGACCGGTTCTTAGCAGGGCCAGGCGAAACAGATGATCCCTTGCCTGCTCTTCTGGTCCCTCGAGAGATTGGAGAAAAAGGGAGGGCTGGGGAAATAACAGAAACGGACACGGATACCCATATTTGTCCATCATCACTGCGAGTGCGTTTCATGGGCTTTGGTTGAATACGTTCTTCTTCGCCTCACGTCTGCAATCATCTTGATCCAAGAGTATCGCCTGTTGGCTACCAGGTATGCTGACATGGTCCAAATGATGGCGCGGCTTGGCTGGATTATGCATGGAGGTCCAGCGTTGCCCACTGAAAAAAAGGTCGTGCATCGGGAGGCGTCCGTATCTTAGTTTGATCGCACTTGGGAAGCTGGTCACCTGATGAAGGCAGCCTCCATCCAGGACAACCTACACGCTGCTACATCAGATCTGCTGAGCTTGGGGTATGCATTGGTCGCGCAGTCTACATGTTCGTGGAGGAAGGGCTCACCCCGCGGACATTGAAGCTGGTCAGATGTTTGTGTGCTGCAGTTTTTCCTTATGAGGGACCGTTTGCTACAGGAGGTGATTGGAACAACCCGCCGCATGCGATCGGAGGGGCTCCCCGTGGCATGCTCTTGATGGACTAGTCCGTGGAGGCGAACACCATCCATCATATGTCCTGGGCGAACACTGGTCCACGATTGATCTCTTTGTTGTCAGCAAGTCCCTAGATGCGTTGCGAAAGACATCAAGACACTGCAGGTCGTGCCTGTGGACCCCCGCTGGCCTGGCCCACGTTCTGGGCACACTCGTGCGTAAGGCCCCTTTCTTCTACCGCCGCACGCACGGGGCCAGCGCCGTTGGGTCGTTGCCGCCGCTGGTTGGTCGGCCCTGGCGCGCGCGTTACCATGCCTGCGGTCGCCCAGGATCCATTTCGATCTGGTCGAGCCAACTCGATATCGATTTCGGCCGCCCCGAACCGATTTGATCCCGATGTTCCGACGCTCCGACGCGGCCCGATGTTTGCAGGGCGTCGTTGTGCATCTTGGCGCGGCCGATCCGATTTGATTCCGGCTCCGGGCCGCATCCGCCCGATCAGACGCACATTCTGCTTCGATCCGAAAGCATGACTGATCTTGCGTCGTCCCTGCGGTCGCCC